TCATTTGCCGTTCTATTCCCTGCGGCAGTTCGATCTACGTGTTGTCAATTTTCGCGAATTTTCGTTTTTTTGCAGGGGATCTCATGGCAAACGCTAACCCCTTCTTTTTGGCAATTTTCCATGTTCAGGACCCTGGGCTTATACCCGGATAAATACGGTATATATATAACATGATGTATAACGAATATATAAAATTTAAATATAATCAGTCAAAGCATTTAAGAGATATGGCTCTAGAACTCCAATCATTAAAACAAAATGACCGTCAGTCAGCCATTTTAAATCCAATCTGAAAAATAAAATTACGTGCATCAGGAACCCGTAATGTCTAATGTATGTACCAAGTTTGAACGAAATCCATCTATAAATGTCAGAAATGCTTGATATATGATGATTTTTTAGCACCATTCGGCCATTTTGAAGAGAATCGTCAAACCAAAATATTTGTTTATCTATGACATGATGTATAATGAATATTTAAAATTTGAATATAATCAGTCAAAACAAGTCCAAGATATGGGTCTAGAAGCCCATTCATTAAACCAAATTGGCCGCCAGACAGCCATTTTGAATTCGATCTGAAAAAAAATGGTGTGCATCAGGAACCTGCAATGTCTAATATATGTACCAAGTTTGAATGAAATCCATCCAAAAATGCCAGAAATGCTTGATATTTGATGATTTTTTTAGCACAAAAATGGCCACCATTTGGCCATTTTGAATAGGATCGTCAAAGCAATATATCTGTCTATCTATGACATGATGTATAATGAATATTTAAAATTTGAACATAATCAGTGAAAGCAAGTAAGACATATGGCACGAGAACCACATTCATTAAAACAAAATGGCCGCCAGTCGGCCATTTTGAATCTTATCTGAAAAATAAATGTATATACCAAGTTTGAACAAAATCCATCTGTAAACAGCCGAGAAATGCTTGATTTTGATGATTTTTAAGCACAAAAATGGCCGCCATTCGGCCATCTTGAATCAAATCGTGAAACAAATTGACATGCATATATATAATATCATGTATGAAGTATGTGTGAAGTTTGATTGTGATTGGTCCAGGCATTTCTAAGATACAGGTCCGGACGCATGCACGCACGCACGCACAAACGGACACACGGAGGTCAAAACATAAGTTCCCGTTTTCGGACTGCGTCTGAACGGGACTAAAAAGTCATACACAATCAACTCCACGTCCAAAACGCAAATAATTCAGGCATGTACAGTCCTGAAGTGCAGCAATTGGGAAACTCAAAATTCTTCCCAACATAGGAGTGACCCTGATATATTGTTGAGGGAGTAAAGATTCACTTTTTTCTCTTTTTCACTCGGCAACAATACAATTCAAAATATATTTAAAATAATAGTAAAAATAAAAATAACACTCACCAAGTAGCTGTGGATCAATTTCAGCCAGGTGTTTGCCTGTAATATTCATAGCTATGGAGGAAACATTAGAAAATGCAAGATAAAATTCATACCATAAGCAATTAGAATTCTAATTCCATATATTATTATCAAATCTGCACAATATAAAAACAAAGCTTGGAAACCAATGACAACATGGACATACCTTGGAAGGAGTCTTTATGTCGACTAAGTAAAACACAATCTAGCCAAATTAGCACTTCCTCTTCTGTCCACTCGTCAACAGGTTTGCCAAAATACTGTAGAGGATCATCGCTGATAAACGTATCGGGAGGTGAAATAATGCTACCTGTGCAGACAGACACAATAACAAAATGTTAAAATGCTCAGTTGTGTTTCCAAGGTAACAAGAGGACATGGCGAGGGAAAGCACAGAAGGATAAATAAACCTAATTAAAAATGTGATGTAAAATACTTACATTTGTAAGGCATCAATTTTTTTAATACTACAAATTAATAATTTGTTCTTGTCAAAAATACATAAAGTAAGAAAACATAAAACAAATTTAAATATTGTGGTCTATCTAAATGTAATAAAATACTATCAAAATAGTAATAATTTAATAATTTTTTAAAAATTTTATTAAAACTTTCTGTGTGTTTTTGAAAAAAACCTAAATAAACATAGTTAAACTATGGTAACCATTTCCAGGTTAGTCTGCAAAAAGCATTCTGCAGAAAGTATCAACCCAAAATCAAATTTGGATATGTCTGATGGAAAGTATGAAACTACATAATAGTACAAACACATTTAAGTTATGAGCCGCCATTTTGTTTAGCAAATTTTGTACAAAAACAATAAGGAATCATTAGCAATCTATTCAGGTATAACAATGATATGAGCTAAAAAGATTATTGTAAAGTTTAGATTGCTTACAGCACAGCCCTGCAATTCCTGGAATTGCACCAGTGTGTAATGGGAATACAATTTGATGGCCTACTGATCGTTTGCCATGTGTACAAATATCTGCAGAGGTGTTAATTACCAACATCATACTGAAAAACATGTCTTTTTCATGAGCATGTCTTTTTAGCGAATTTAGAGAAAGAACTGATTCAAGATGTCGCTAATGATTTTATTATAAATTCAAAATGGCCAAGGCTTGGGGATTTGTATACAGTAATGCGGAACATAAAAATCAGTGGAGCTTTCTAATTACACTTGACAGTTTTTCTCAGTTTTTATGGTGGTGATAACTCTGCATTTGTTTTGGCAGGCGACAGACAAGTATTATGAAAACAGGAAATCTACAATGACAAGAGAGATTCGCTAAATCAACATTTCGCTATTACGTCATTTTACCACAATTCGCTAAAATTGCATGACACTTTTTCAACATGTTTTACAGTAGTCTGCCTTGAGTTGTAAGGACGTAGACCGGGCAGTCTCTAACGGTCTGGATTAACATTTTGATTTGAATGAACAAATGATTGACAATTATTCCGAAGACATGTGCATGGTGTTTAAAACATACTCTCTCATTTCTCTGTTAACATTTAGATGAGAATTACTGTAACAATAAACACTTAAATATTTAACTGATTATCATAATTTATTGGTTTCTAAAATTTTGACTAATCACAAAATTGTCCAACTCAGATTTCTCAGCTTGGACCAATAATTTGACTCTTATTTAGGCTCAAATTAATGAATACAAAACTGTTAAACTAACTGTATAGAGGGTTAGGGACAGTGGAAGAACCAAAACACCATGCAAACAAATCCAACTTACTTTTCTAAGGTTTTAAACAGTATTGCTTATTATTTCAGTCATGTTCAGTTTGATACTATGAAATACTTCAAGTTTGTATTATTGTGAACAAATTCTTTTTGGAAACCAGATCGATTCCATATCCGCCATGTTGTTTTGATCATGCATTGAACCACTATAGTGTTCTTTGACCCAATATCATGCCAAGAATTTTATTACTCCTGACAGTTTTCAAATATTTGCAAGCACATAACACATTGCGGAAGTAAAATTTATTATTATTGAAGTTGCAGTATGATCTCATGGCATTGATTTGGCTGCACAACATTTTTTAAAGAGGCGATTAGCAATTTTCAAAAGATAAAATGAGTACTGAGATTTATTAACAGTTGTCATGGTACATAATATTAAACAGATAAAATGTATTTAATCTACTTGTGCAATAAGTCAGCAAATTTTTTTAGTCAGTTGTATTCATAATCTTATCCATTTTCTTTTGTAGCCATGAAACATCGCAAGTTATTGTGTTTTGTCGGAAATGTTACTTTTCCAACGAAATGATGCACCATGTATGGCATCATGTATGGCATCTAATTTTGATCAGGTTCAAAATTTTAATGCAATTTTGTATTCTAAAAACCATCCCGTTTTTCAAAACTATTTAAACTAACATATGGTAAAAGTACTCACCATGTCGTCGCTCTAAGCTATTGCTCTGTGAACTCGTATCCATCAATGACGGCCGGACTTCAGACTTATTTTCTTGCATAGTTTTTTGGTTGTTGGATATCAGTTCATCTGCCAACTTTTGCTCCTCTTTCAACCTGGCAATGTCAGCATCAATTCTACTTTCTTGATCCTCTTGCAGTTTCAGGAGTTTTTCGAGTTCTCCAGTAACTCTGGTGTTCAGTTCGTCCTCTAGATTGTGCCTCTTGATGGAGTGTTGCTGTAAAAGCAATTTGATTAACAAACGGTCAATTGACACTGATTCCAAAAACCCTTGGTTTTTACATGCCAAACTGATTCCAAAATACTAGGTTCAGAAGTCAAACCGATTCCGAAAACTCGGTTCATGTCAAAGAGTGTTCATCACATCAAATCACCTACCGGTTGGTGAACAAGATATACATCTACCCTTCTTTCTCTATTCAGATATAGTGATTACTGGTATTTACCTGAAGTTTCAGCATGGACGGAGATTTGGGTCTTCTCTTCAATTCTTCAACTCTTCTTATTAAGCTAGCTCTCATATCAACATCTTCAATGTCAAGTTCAACTACAATCAAACAAAATAGGACCACTGTAAAAATTTTGCAAAAACATGAACAATTAAATCTGCTTCTATATGAGAATTTTACTCTTTTCTATTTGCATGACACTTTAGAAACATCGGCAGTTTCTCCGAGTGGATGACTACAAAGCAACACAATATTAACTTCGCAAAGTGACTTTTATGTGAGTTAGCTTTCACTGTCATAAATGTGGTAGTTTGTGACAAGAGTAAGCTATACTTATATGCAAATTTTGTAAAGCAACCACCAGAATAAAATAAACATGGGTCAGCCAGCCGCTCTCATAACCATGGACCACAGTGATTATAAATTATTAAATATGCACAAGTTTATTAAATATGCACAAAAACATACATTTGTATGAACAATATTGAAACCTTGAGCGCCAAAAGTCAACTTCAGGCAGCATCCACAAAATAGTTATTTATAGCTAGTTTTTCAAATGAAATGTTGCAAAAAATTTTGCTTAAAATCTTTAGTCCAAAATTAAGTATGAATTCTGTGAAAAAGACAAATAACAAAAAAATTTACACATTTTTGAGCATTAAAAATGTTGCTGCTCAAGGGGTTAAAAGGGTACATCATGATAAAACTAAAAAAGTCTAGGTCACAATATAATATTTTCTGAATTTTTCATGCCTCTTTTATAATAAATAATAGTCTTTCTAATGTTCCCATAGAAACAAGTATGGTATATCAGAACTGACAGACAACAGATCTTAGACGCAAATCTGTGCTCTCGCTGTCGCTCGCAAATGTCGTAAATTACGAAATTTGGACAAGATTTACGAACAAAATAAATATCTATTAGTAGGATTTACGAACACATTTTGTACAAAATACCCTCGCAAATCGCCCTCATTTAATTGTCAAGACTCGACTGTGATCATCACGCGTGTTACGGTTTGAGTGATTGCCATTTTAAAATTAAACAATGTTCCGTTACTTCTAAGATTGCAACAATTGTTACATGGTGATCGCGATCAACACGGAACTGCCACTGAATATATTTTTCCACTCTAAAGTTATTTTGGTGTCATCGCACATGCGTAGTTTAGTCGACATGTGTTTCAAGATACCCCACGACTTTACTCTCAGTATGGGACGGTTTCATGTCGC